TGTACGTATTAAAGCAAATAAATCTCCAAGAGATTTGAATGCTTCAAATGACTAAACTTCTCCTTGGGGATTTCTATTTAGTTGACTTTCCATTTTGTCGAGAAAAGTCCAAAAATCGAAGTCCTGAATCTAGGAATGTAATTAAAATAAATTCTGAATTTTTGACAGGTTATATCAATTTTATGTGCTGTCATCTAGCGGCGGCGCTCATTAAGCTATATTTGTGGACCGAATACGCATTTAATCGTGCGCTAACCTGTCTAAAACGCTAGAAACTCGTCAACTTTAGACGCGCGTAACTTTCTAACAAATGAATTGAGAACTTATTTCAATTACATTCCTAGATATAGAACTTCGATTTTTGGACTTTTCTCGACAAAATCCACCGGAATGTATGCTAGAAAATCAAAAAAATAGAAACCCCCAAGGTAAAGTTTAATCATTCAAATAATCCAAAAAAAGGAGAAGAGAAAAGTTAGCATAAATAGCGTTACTGTTAACACTAAACCTACCGCGGTCAAAGTGACCACTTTCTTATTTTGCAATTCTGCAAAGTTTCGAAACTTTTTCGTGGAAAATGCTTGAATAAGTTACATTATTGGAGCAAGTTTTATAATGAAAACTTTACAAAATCTAAATAAATTCGGTCTTCTCACTTTTGTGAAGCAGTACACGCCAGTTAGTATTACTGCTTGGTAGGTTTAGTGTTAAGTAGTATTGGCTTGGCAACTAAGTAATTGCCGATTTCAGTTATAGATGTCTCTCATCCTATTTTTATGATATCCGTAAATGTTATAGTATAAAATTATTATTATTATTATTATTATTATTATGTTATTTTTTATTATCCGTGAATGTTAGCAACTGGACAAATTGAATGCAGCGGTCAAGGAAAAGCGACCAAAATTGGTCAATCATAAAGGTGTCATTTTCCACCAGGACAATGCTAGGCCGCACACGTCTTTGTGCACTCGGCAAAAATTGATGGATATTGCTTGGGAATTGATGTTACACTCACCATATAGCCCTGATCTCGCGCCATCGGATTACCACTTATTTCGATCCCTGGACAACTCCCTTCGTGGTAAAACTTTTAATGATGATGACGCTGTAAAATCTCACTTAACTCAGTTTTTGGCCGAAAAGGATCAGACTTTCTACGAGCATGGAATTTTCAAGTTGTCAGAGAGATGGCAAAAGGTCATCGAACAAAATGGAAAATACATTAC